TTCACTCTCCAGCACAGCCATTGGATGTCGTGGTGTTTCATATAGAAAGTCGCAGCATAGTTCCTGATCAAGGGCCTCCAGAGACCGTTTCTGCATCCCCCTCACTTAGGGAGGCACATTTAGGGAGCTATCGCCACGCCTTTGCAGCTTGCAGCTCTGGGAGCTCGCTTCCCTGCCCCTCACCCTTTCTCCCCAGCGGCCTCCTCTCAGGCCACCTGGCTCCCGCCTCCCTCCCCCCCTCCATCCCCAGCCTCTCCCACCTGCCTGCACCCTCTGGTCTCCTGCACGCGCTCGGGGGCTCTGCTGGTGGCCCTCCTGGCTGTCTACTGCTGCCCCGTCTGCCCTGGCCTCTCAGCCCCACGCTGGCATCCCTTCCCCCACTTCCCAGACGCACCACTGCTCACAGGCTGTTCAGGGGACCTAGTTCCCACTCCGGAAATCACAATGCAGATGCACCCCAGTTCAGGGAGAGGTTGGAGCTTTGCCTTCAGAGCGTATGGCTTTATGCGCCTGAGCATGATGCTTTTTGCGTGTAGAGGCGTGTCCTGAAAGATTGCAAACCTCACTAATTTTGACGGAAACTGCACTGTATCTGCCGTATACACAGGTGTGTTCATTGTTACATGGGAAAAGAATGAGACTGCTAATTGTGTTTAAACTAGATGAAGTAGGCTCCCATTTCACTGGGGTGAGAGAACCGCTCACATGAAATAAGCTAGCCCGAGGATGAGCACATAAATAGAACATTCTCAATATCCTGCCGTCACTAATGAGTAACTTTGACAATCTATCAGACACAATGCAATCACGGGGAAAGCTACACAGATATCGTGTTAGAAGATTCCATGAAAGGAGCAGAGAATGTAAGACACTGGATAGTCATCCCAGCTAGGGCGAGAAGAACGTCAAGATTCCTTAAAGCGATGGTTCTCCGGGTGTGTTTCTTGAACGAGAGCGATCGATCGCCTAGGAACCTATTAGAAAGGCAGGCTCTCTAGCCCCACCCCAGGCCCCGGCCCAGAAACTCCAGGAGCGAGGCCTGGACATGGCCCTGCCTTAACACGCACGGGTTGGAGACCCGGCGTTGGAGACCCAGGCCCTCCCAGGATACAGAAGTCGTGGCGTGAGTACAAAACCGGCCGGTTCCCGTGTCGCCGGGACTTTCTGCTTGTGCAGGAAGAGCTCCCCGTCCCGGTGCAGATGTGAAACCCGGCCGCCATCTGGCCTCGCAGGCGTGCGTGTGGTTTAACAGTCAAAGTGGACCTGCCACTTTCGGTGTCTGAGCTCCTCCTGCCACGGCAGGGGGGGCACGTGACAGGAGGCGCGGGAGTGGAAACTCACCCTCATCACCGCCCTCTCCCAGGGAGCAGCAGGAGTCGGGGGAGCCCTGGCTGGGAAAGCCAGGGGAAGGGTGTCGACCTCTGGCCCACAGTCCCCTCTGTGGTCACTGGCACTTCCTCCCAGGGGCAGACCCTGAGATGATAAGTGAGAGCGCGTGGCTTTTCTCAGAGGTGTGGGGGCAGCACCAGGGCAGAGGGGGCGGTACAAGGAAGACTTCCCCTGAGCCAGAGGGCAGAGCGGGTGAGCCTTCGGAATCCGCAGAGACGCCCAACTACGGTGCAGGGTGTGTTCCTCCGAACTGTCCCGGCCAAGGGCAGGGGGCTGGGGGTCCACGTCCCCACACGCCGTTCCTAAGACCTCCGGCCTGCGTCGGGCAAAGGCGCTGCGCTTGCCATTGGAAGGAGCGAGCCGATGCACCCAGACAGGTAAAGGGGATCCCAGGTGTCACAGGTGGGTCCCCGAGAGCATCCGTACACGCGAGGCCAGCCACTGAGGGCGGGAGATGAGGACTCAGTCCCTGCCCGGGATGAAATTGTGTTTGGGCTTGTTGTCGAAGCAGCAGGTAAGCTTTGCAAATGATGGAAATGAGGAAAGAGACGGGAGTTGGGGGGTAGGGGGACACACATGGCTCAGGGGTGCCCCTTCAGCCTCACACTCACGGGGTGGGGGGCAGTCGCACCGGGAGCAGCCTGCTCTCGGGGTTCCCAGCCTTTTATTGCCTCCAGCCCAGAAACAGCTCGCTCTACTAAATAAGACATCCGTTATGATGCCTAAAAATCATTTCAGGTGTTGTTGTTTTTCTTGAAATTAAAAATAAAACCTTTGTCCTTTTAAATATAAATGGACACTTGAAGTTTACTAGACGAGGAGAAAAACAAACAGCATAAAAGAGATAGACAAAGACAAGCAAAGAGAATGAATTTACTCTTGAAGAAAAACAAGGTCGGAAAGAAGAAAACGTCACGAAAGCCCAGCCCCTCCACGGTCTGAGACGTTCGCGCACCCACGGGACAGGAGCGAGATGCTGCTTTGAAAACCAGGAGCGGTCGGAGTAAGGATGTGCTTTTGAAAATGAAACACGTGATCGCAGAAACAAAATTACCATTAAAGGTCAAGTACATGCTTCACAATCAAGGGCAAAAGCACAAAGACAGAAAAACGAGAGAGAACAGACTGAGAGACACCGAGGGTCCGTCGAGCAAGTGCAGACTTTCCACAAAAAAGGAGAGAGCAGAGGACGTGGGGAGGAGGAAGGACCGCAGAACAGGACAGTGACGGAGCCCTTCTCTGGCAGAATATGTATCTGGGTGTGTGTATACAGAGAGAGACAGCATTACATTACCTGTGACATAACACGTGTTGTGTATTTTTAAACGTTAGGCAGTAGGCAGCTCAGACAGCGACCACGGAGGAAAGGGAAGCAAAGGAGAAGAGCCCGGCCCAGCCCCGCCTGGCGCTGGGGAGGCTGCTCCAGCTCCCTCCGCATGGACACGAGCTTTTCTTTTCTTTCTCAGGTGGAGAGCATTAAATGTGTCACAAATACCAAAAAACAAGACAAACCACCAACTCCTTCATGTGGGATCAATACATGGCCCTCCCCTGCCCACGACCGAGGGCTGGTCAGAGGGCCGCTGGCCAGAAGGAAATGTGTCTTCTTTTGGAAATGACTTGCAACTTCCTCATCACCTTTTGGGAGTGGCTTCCTCTCCTGTGACTGTTTCTGGACCTTTTCTTCACACTGAGGTCCTGTCGTTCAGAGTCCGGGTAGGGGGTGTGCCTCCTTCACCTGGGAGCCCTTAAAACAAGTCTCCCATTGAAACTAAGAGCACTCTAACAATAGCCAGAGAGCGGAGGGGCGAGGGGACAGCAGGGAGAAGGGTATTCAGGAACTACTCTAAAGGACACATGGACAAAACCAAGGGGGAGGGTGGAAGCAAGGGAGGGAGGTGGGTTTGGTTGGGGTGGGGTGAGGAGTGGTGGGGAGAAAATGCAGACAACTGTAAGTGAACAACAACAAAGTAATTTAAAAAAACAAGTCTTGGACACAAGGGGATGCGGTCCGGCTTGCCAACCCGCCCCCTGCAATGTGAGTGACAAAGGCAACGTTTACTCCACCCAGGCCTCCTTGTGGGTTTTTCGGCTTCTCAGGAGGTGCAGTCAAGATCCCCTGGGCTTGGCATACTGCATTGCACCTTAAAATGTGTTTTATTGTGAGCAAGTGAAAATCCAAAGCAACCATGTAGGTATAACCTAGATATAACTCTTGCACTTTTAAATATATTTGAGGGTATTCCATTTGGATGTGATTTTTTTGTTGCCAAAAACGCTATGTGCTTATATAAAAACTCTAGCTGCCCACAAAAGTGTGTGTGCCTGTTTGGGGGAGGGGGCTGGGGCCCAACATTAAAAAAGTCTTCCAGCCCCGGCTGGTATGGCTTAGTGGATTGAGCACCGGCCTGCAAACCAAAAGGTCGCTGGTTCGATTCCCAATCAGGGCATATGCCTGGGTTGCAGGCCAGGTCCCTAGTAGGGGACATGTGAGAGGCAACCACACATTAATGTTTTTCTCCCTCTCTTTCTTCCACCCTTCCCCTCTGTCTAAAAATAAATAAATGAAATCTTTAAAAAAATCTTCCAAATGAAATGTTTCCGTTGGTGTGGGGCCCACTGTCCTAAATGTAAAAATGCAACCTATTCCAACTAGTTTGTATGAAAACTTTTGGCAGCAGGAAATAGAATTTGAACAAAAATCTTAAGCCCAAGAGTCCTTGGAAAAATCTTTTGATGAGCATGATTTAGTAATTACAACCAGGAATTTCCCTTTTCCATTTGGATTCACATGGGGTATTGTGCCACCCATGACGTTAAAACAAAGCACGGACAACCTCGTAATCAAACCAAAGAATCGCTGAATCGCGCGCGATCACCCAGTTTGTCACTGTGTAGATTTACCAAACATTGCTGCCCACTTAGAATGGGTGAATTCCATGGCATGCAAATTATACCTCAAAGCTGTTTATAAGGCACGTCGAAACGCATTGTTCTCTCCAAATATTCCCTTTGCCATGTGATCGATCATTAATAGTGTTAGGTGTTAACAATTATCAGCTAAGCATGCAATTGCTTATTTCACCTCTCCTCGTTTATACATTTCATTTGCTTATTTTCATAATACCCATAATCTAATAACCATCTGAATGGAGGACTCAAGTTGCTCCCGATAAGGGTCGGCGGTCCCCAAGCCTGGGGCCTTCCGTTCGCCCCTCGGCCGGGCCCTCCCCGAAAACGAGCGCTGGACGGCCTCAACCACTGCCTGGGCTGGCAGCGCTCTGCGCCCAGGAAACCGCTGGGTCCGCCGGCGGATCCCGCCCCCCCGCCTCTCCACACCCCCAGGCTCCCAGACACCGCCCTCCCCGGCCCCGAGCCGACGAGCAGGGCGGGGATCCGCAGGGAGGGAGGGAGAAACTCAGGGTCCCGGGGCCTGCGCAAGATCTTTGGAAACGAGCCCGGTCGCTCCGAGAATCCGGGGCTCCTGCTAGGAGCGGCTTTTCGAGAAGAGGGCGGACCCCGACTGGGGCGGGGCGATTAGGGGGCGGGGCGGCCCTACCGTGCCCCGGGCCGGCGCAGCCCACGCCCCAGGCCTCGACACAGGCGGCCGAGTCGCGGGACTGCGCGTGCGCGGAGGGCTGCGCGTGCGCAGGGGCTGAGCCCAGGGGCAGGATGTCTGCGGGTTTGGGCTCGCGCTGGGCCGTGCCCCGCCCGGGGGCTTCGGGCTCACGGACCACACCGCTGCACTACTAAGATGGCCCTGGACCTGACCGGGAGGATTGGCGGCGGGCCGCGGAGGATGACCGCCCTCCTGGGCGTGACGACCCTCGTTCTGGTCGCCGGGCCGCCACGGGTGTTGTCCGCAGCCGCGGGTGAGAGGCGGGGGTCGGCGCCCGGGCTCCGGGCTGGGCTGCGGCGGCGCTGGAAGCCACGGCCCCGGGACGTGGGTGGCGCGGGGCGGACGTCCCTCTGGGAGACCTCGGGTCATCCGCAGCCCCAGCGCACAGATTGAAACCGGCTTGGTCTAGAAAACCAAACGAGAGGGAGCAGTGTGGAAGTTCCGTCCACCGCTTCCCTGGCGGCGAGCGCCCCGGTGCCCGGGCCCCTCGGCCCCGCAGCGCTGGGGGTCGAGGGCCTTGGGGTCGAGCTTGTTTTCTTGGTGGGAAATCGGGGATCCCGGCTGGACGGTTTGATTTAAAGCGTGAGCCACGCGAACCGTGCTGCTTGCTGTCCCTGAAACCCGTTTCCTCCATTTAGTAAACAATTCCTAGCATGTGGGAAGGAGATAAGATTCCGATCATTTCTGTGTCCTCAGGATTCCTGGAGTCGAACAAAAAGTAGTAACAAAGGACAGCTGCACGGCCGGAATACAAAGGCTGGAGCCACCGGGCTCGTTTGCTGCCCTTCTTACTACTTAACGGGGACGTGTTCGGGCGCGAGGGGCGGCTGTTGCTGTACCGCGGGTTTTGCAGTCGGGCGGGGTTCCCAAAGAGAAAAGGCCTGGCCACTCAGCACAGGTACCCAGGGGTCCGGAGGGCCGCCTGGGGGATTCAAACGCTCAGCCGTTCGCTTAGGAACCCCCTTCCCCCATGGTGTTGTATTTCTCCAACCTTGCCGCCAGTACGGCATACAGTGTAATCTGCGGGTGGTGATAGGCTCCTGCAGTCCGTGGTCACTTCTTTGAAGTCTTTGGTTCATGAAGATTTGCACTAAACTGGTGTTTGCTTTAGCATAAGACTTTCCCCACAGTTTTCGTGTAAAATTAACATGCCAGGAGGCTGTGCATTAAGATCCGTAATTGAAATATTTTTTAAAGATCCAGATTTTAATCTATATTAGAGAAGAGCCGCTACAAGTAAACTTTATACACAGATAGTATTTATTGTGCTGTTTTAACTGTCTTACCTGCCGGGCACTACGCTAAGTGGTTTACTGGAACTGGTGGAACAGGCAGTACCCGCCTGCGCCGTCGGGGGCGCTGACCTCTCTTCCCTTAGACAGTCGAGTAGAAAATGACCACAGCCAGCACTGCGCGTCCCGTGTGAATGAATCAGAATTACACCTATTTTTTTTGTCAGATCAGCTCAAAATGTAATACATTGTTTGGTGTGCCACAGAAACTTAGTAATTAGTTTATGTGTGCCACAAAATGGAAAAGGTTGAAAATCACTGAAATGTGTGAACTCCTTCAGCTTTCAAAGCAACCTCGATCGAGGCCCCATTGTCCTCGCTCTCCTGTGAGCGGAGTGAGGCCCGGGGGGGGCTGAGTGGGCCGCCCGAGGCCGGCCGGGGTGGCTGCCCGTAGCCCAGGGGGAAATCAGACCCTGGAAGTTGGGCCCCAGAGCCCATCTCTTGATGGCCGGCTTTTTTTCTCAAAGGAACAGTATTGTTCAGAATGAATGAGATGTTACCCTTAGCTTTCGAGGTCATACAAAAAATATTCATCTTTTTAAACCTGGAAAATGCAGTTCTGGGACCCTAAGAAAGTGGTCTGAACTATGGGAGGAAGTGTATATTTGTGCAGATGTATGTGTTTGGATTTACGTCAGACTTTGAAAAACAGTAAACTGTGTCCGGTTATCGGCCTGAATGTGAACGGTTGGAAGCAACCAGTTGTATACACACAAGTGGGGGTTGAGTGCCCATTATATAATTTATATGCTGAAAGGGTGAAGCGCACTGTTATCCAGAGGATACTGCTAATATTAATAGAACCAAGTCTATGAAATCTAAAATCCTGCCCAGTAGACTCTGAGTCTCTGTCCGTTCACCAGTCAGTTATTTGTTGACCTCTCAGGGGCCAGGACGCCTCGGACTCCGGGCCTCCTTCCCTGAGCAGGGGCTGCACCCCTGAGGAAGTGCCCCTCAGACTCGCTCTTCCCATCTCAAGGCCCAGACTGCAGAAGTGGAACATTCTAGACTAGATGCTCCAGATGCCGCCAGCTGTCTTGTTAACCTCCGTGTTCAGGGCCCTCCGGTTGCATGGACTCCATAAAACAGCAACAAATGGGGTGGGACTGAGGTGTCGGAGGGTCTAAGGGGGACGCATTCTGTTCGGGGACAAGGTCTCAGGGGCGAGGCGTGGGAGCCAGAAAACAGGGTGGGGACAGGCCAGGAGCACCTCCCTGAATCTGAAAGCACAAAGGAAACAGAAAACGATTTCTTTACCGTCTCCCCTGTGATTCCACACGGTAATTTCTCCAACCGGAGAGAAGAGGAGGCGGTCCCGGTAACGAAGGGGTGCTGCCCGGCCCCGCGGTGGGAACGGCCCGCAGGGAGACGGCATGCCTGCCCTGCGGCAGAAGGAAAGGCTAGCACTATCGTAGAAACCAGAAATCGATGTACAAGCTGGTCTTTTAAAAACTGTGGTTTGTCACCGTGAAAACCCAGACCTTTGTGACATTAAAGGAGTTCCCGAGAACCCAGCATCATGCCCGACGCGCTGAAAGAGGCAGAGTGAGTTTGCTCGGTACACGGAGACCCTGCCCTTAGGGACTTGTTGTCCGGTTGGAGATTTGTGTTGAACACAACACAGTCTCTATCCCACCAGTTGTGAGAGCCCACGAGGGAAAGGGGAATGGGGGGGGGGCGGGGGGGGAGGCATCCAACTGGTGCAAGATTCGCACTAGAAGCGTAAGCGATCGGGGTCTCTAGGTGAACGTCCTTAAAAATACACAGGAGGGTTCGGGCCGAGTGTGTCTGCGGTCAGCACCTTTTCGGGTCCCTGCAGGCCTGGCTGACGCGACAGACCCTCGGGCTGCTCTGTCTCGGGGTTCGGTTCAGGGAGCAGTCCCTCCCTGGGGCCGCCGTCTGCTGCGGAGCCCCGTCTGCCCGCCCTCCATCAGAGGGGCGGGGCCTGTCTCGGAGCAGAGGGCGTGAAACCGCACTTGGTCAGACCCCAAGCCCCCCATGACGGGGTCACTTCCAGACCAAACAAAGCTTCTCTTTTTACACAGAGACTGTTTTTTCCAGTTAAAAGACAATGCCTGCTTTTTTCCTTTATTATTCTGCTTTTATTGGGATATAATTGACATATAACACTTTCTGTAGATTTAAAAACTCAATCTTTTTCCAGCTCTCCAATGCAGAGATATAAATAATCGGTAGCTTTTCTGTGCTAAGAGCAACCATGAGGTGTTCTTAGATTTTTTTAATACACTTCATTATGTATAAATGGATCTATTCTTTAATCAGGAATGCGAAGGGAAGACTCGCATTTTTAAAGATACCTGTAGTGGCCCTGCCTGGTGCGGCTCAGCGATGTGGGCATCATCCTGCAAACCGAAAGGTCGCCGGTTCGGTTCCCAGTCAGGGTCAGGGCACATGCCTGGGTTGCGGGGCGTGCGAGAGGCAACCAGTCCATGTTTCTCTTACACATTGACGTTTCTCTTCCTCTCCTTCTCCCTCCCGTCCCCTCTCTCTAAAAATAAATAAATAAAATCTTTTAAGCAAATGTTTGCCGTGTGCCCATAACTCCCCTCTCTTGTTAACTCCGTAGGGGGCGCACACCTGGAACCTCCTCACGATGTGGAAGTCTCCATCACCGACGACACCTTCACCCTGCTGTGGGCCAGCGGCAGTGACCCTGGCAGGAACGTGACTTTCTCGGCGGATTACCAAACGTACGTACGCGGCTCTGCTGACCCAGTGGCTGGGACCATCGGAAACATTTTTATAATTCCAGCACCGTCGTTTTTTTTTCAGATTGGTGTAACATTTAGTTTGTTCATTTTTAAAAGAAATTTCGTGTCTCCATACTAGTTGTAACTGCCTTTCCGCAGATAGAGATTCAGTGGACTTTTTCTTTGGGCATTGACACCAGAGAGCTGGTGGGGGGTGGCTGGCAGGTGGCTCAGTGGCCCACAGCCGGACCTTCTGTTCTGGGTGCTCCGCCCACTTCGACTAGAAACCCAGGTCCGAGTGAGAGCGTCGCAGGCACTCGAGGTGGCAGGGAGAGCCCAGGGGGCCTGTCCCCGGTCCTCGCCCGGGACAGCAGGTCCCCTGTAGACAGGATTCCCTCTCACCTCCACCGTTCACTACATCTGCGTTCTGGCTGCAGCGTGTAAGCCCCTGCGAGTCCACAGCCCCCGATGTGGGGTTTCGGGGCCCAGTCCCCGGTGCGGACTCGCCACTCCGTGGCAACCGACCGAGGGGCTAGGCAGGCAGGGGTCACAGGAGGGATTCCGGGAGGACACAGCTCGGGAGGTCCAGTGCTCTGCGTGGGGCGCTGGGGCCTGTGTGCGCCCTGCTCCCTGTCCCAGAGAGGGCCGGCGGTCCGCAGCCAGGACACAGGCGTGGGCAGAACTGGGACCCGCCCCTGCACCCACTGCCACGCCGCTCCTCACCTGCTATTACTGTCAGGGGGACACGTGTAAGCACGTGTGTGTATGGACATGCACACACATTCATTCATTCATGGATGGTGTTTCTCAGAATGGACAGTACGGGTGGGCAAAAGCAGGTCTATAGCTACGAGCACGTGAAATAGTTCATCCCTGCATGAGTGTTTATTAAATTGTTGTGTTATTTCCCAGTGAACAACTGTAGCCTGCTTTTGCTCACCCCATGTAGGAAGTTTTATCTCTTGGGGTTTCTTTGAATTTGACGCTGACATCTGCTACCAGTCACGCCCCTGCCCCGGGCTGTGCTGCCGCCCCCCGTCCCCGGAGTCGTCCCTGCGGAGCAGCGGCATCTGAGCGGAACACAGCTGTCCAAGCCCGCCTGGGTTCTGAGGCGCGGAGGCGTCTCCCCGGACCGTCCCCGTCGCACGCGGGGGGCCGCGGGCCCGCCCGGCCCGCTCTCAGTGCCCGGCCGGGAAGCGGGTGTGCTTGCGGTCGTTCTAAAACTTGTTTCCGTTCTGGAAAACGAGGCAGACTTGTATTTGTGTCAGCACCACGATCGTTTGGAAATCATCCCTGGTTTCTGCTGTCATAAAACACCTTTAAAATGAATTCTGCGGTATCACAAAACAACGCCCGCGAATGCTAGGACTCTGAATCCAGCTGGGCAGAGCTCCCTTCCCACGGGCCAGGTTGCCCTCCGCTCTCATCCTCACTCCAGAGTCCTCTTCCCTTTGCGGCTACGGGACTTTCTGAGGCGAACGGGGGTGGCCATCGAGTTCTTCACGTGCCTGGAGAGCCTCACGTTAATCGCCGAAGCTTTTGGATTGATTTGGTTGCACCACGTTGAGGGTGCGTGGGTGCGTGTTATTTTGAGTTCCTTCTGGCGATGGGGCAGGAGGAAGGAAGCGGATCAGCAGGAAAGAGGGATGTTCCGGTTTTGAGGAGGAGAGGAAATTCTCAAACCGTGGCGATTCCGAGGCCTTTCCTGGGGCCAGCACCTCTGTCCACAGGAGGAGGCCAGGAGGGAGCCCTCGGGCCCAGCTGCTGGATTTTCAGGAAAGAAGAGAAGGTCCAGAAATGCGGCCGGAAGTCGCCCCGCCCAGCCCACTCTCCCCTCGCGGCCGTGGCTTTCTCTGCTGCTCTGACATCTGAGTACGACCCCCACAAAATGACAGAACTACCGAGTAACTCTGCGTCAGAATGAACCCTTCTTGGGAATGCTAACATTGGGAAAGGGGAAGGTCACACACTGAAATGTCGGCAGCACAGTAGCTGGAGCAGAAGTAACGAACGAGGTTTCCAGTGTCACTAACAGAAAACTTGTGCGACTCTCTTCTGCACGTATCCATTTGCTCGTCCATTCACTCGTCTGCTTTTTCATGCTAAAGGCTGGAGATGAGTACCTGGATGAAGGTGCCTGGGTGTCAGTACGTTGCCGGTACCAGCTGCGACTTCTCCCTCAACGTGAGCGTTTACAACACGGTTAAGCTGCGTGTAAGAGCAGAAGACGGAAGCAGCGCTTCTCCGTGGCGCGAGCTCAGCCCGTTCGTGCCGCAGCAGAAAGGTAAGGGGAAGCCGCCGGCTGAGGGGCGGCGCGGCGTTTTGTGACTGTCGCCCCGGACCGCTTCCCGGCGAGCGGTGTCCCACCCCAAACCCCACCACCCCCTGCGCCGTCCGCCTCCCCACCAGCGCTGGCTCTCAAAGCTCGCCCCCCGCCCGGAGCCGGTCCTGGACAGAACTCGGGAGACTCGTTTGCCTTTTCCGGCCTCTCTCAAGCACCCCCGGGCATATTCCGAAGCTGCGGGCTGCGGGCTGCGGGCTGCGGGCGGGGCCGTCGTGGCTGGCAGCGTGCCGTGTGCGGCGCTGGTGCGAGGCCAGCCGTCTCTGTGAGCCGGGCGGGAGGGAGACGCGCAAAACGGGGAACGGCGCGCTCTTGCTGGGTGGCTGGCTGGCTGGCTGGTTTGGGGAAAATTTTTTTTTAAACAAATTACTTGTTATAGCGGCTTGGTCATTATATTTAATGAATTGGGTATTGTAAATTTTTATCACTTTTAATGTTTAATGTGCTAAACATCAAAGGACATACCCGATGAAGGAAAGTTCCGGGGCCCTCCGTTTCTTTAAAAGGACCCCAAGATCCGAGCCTGTGGGAGCCGCCGCCCCCACAGGTCTCTGCACCCCTTTGCTCTGCCGCTCCTCCGCCCGCGCTCCTCCGCCCTCTCCGTCCGGGCCTCGTCGCTGCACGGAACCCACCCTTCGGGGTCGCCCACGACTTCCCGTCCTCCGCGGGGTCCGTTTCCCGGCAGCAGCAATGTGATCGCCGCTCCCTCTTCTCGAAACCCTGGCGTCTCTGGCCCCCAGGGGCGTGGCCCTCCGCCTGTCCTGCCCCTCGGTCACTCCGTGCCCGCTGCTCGGCACCCAGACCGCTGCGGGGCTCCGTGGCCGGCCTCCTCTCTGCTCTCCCCCACGGGTGACCGACAGCCTCCACGCCGTCCGCGCTCAGACTCCCAGAGGCCCCCGAGCCCCACTGCATCCCTGCACCTGGCGCCTGTCTCGCCCGCTCTCTGCTCTCCGGGCAGCCTCTCCGCTCAGGTGTCCCCGGTCCTCTGCACTCTCCCCTCGCGGCTGGCTGGTCTCTGGCTTCGCCCGCCCCTGGCGGCTGGTCACCCGTTCTCTGCTCAGGCCCGGAGCGTGGGGGGTCACCTCCGACTCCTCCTCTCCTCCTGACGCCCCGCACTCCGTCGGCAGCACGTCCCCGACCTGGGCCTGCAGAGCCGCTGCCTGCGGGCCTGCCCCTCCCCTCGGGCCGCGAGCCCTCCCCAGGCCACTGTCCCGGCCGCTGGGGCCTGCACTGCAGCAGCTGTGTCTGACTGCCCCGGGTCCTCAGACGATGGCCAGGACGCCCCAACCCAGACGTCAGCCGAACAGTCGCCCTCCGCCAGCCACAGCCCCCAGTTCTGTAGTCCCTGGCTGCCGGCTGCCATCGGCCCTCCCCGCCCCCACTCGGCCTCCTGAGGGTGGTCGGCCCCTCTCCCCGCAGGGCCTGGGACCCTCTCTCTCCCTGGAGAGCCGGGCCCAGGGCCCTTCCCCGACTGACGTGCCTGCGCCAGCTCTCGCTCCCTCCTCTGTCCCCCTGCGTGACTCCCTGGTGCTGAGAGCACGCGGGACACGTGAGTGTGTGTGTGTGTGTCGGACGGCGTTTTTGCTGCGTCCCCGTGAAAACGTGAGCTCCACGAAGCGTGTTCTCTGGGCTGCCGTGTCGGCACACGCACAGCAGTCACAGGTACTTGTTCCGTGACCGGGCGTGGTGTGGGAGAGGTTACACAGTGAACGCTTTGGTTTTTACAGCTCGGATTGGGCCCCCGGAGGTGCGTTTAAAAGCTGAAGACAAGGCGATAAGAATAAGCATCTCTCCCCCTGGAGGGAGAAACAGTATCATGTGGGCCATGGACCAGTCCAGGTTTAGGTACACCGTGGTCTTCTGGGAGAGCCCTTCGGGCGAAAGGGTAAGCGCGTCTCCGTCCTGGATTCACGCGCGCGAGAGAGAGAGGCGGCGGGAACTGATTCTAAAGTTTCAGCCTGTACTCTTAAAAACAGACTTCTGTCTCTTTGTTGCAGAAATCCAGAGAAACCCGGTACCCCAGCTATCTGATGAGCGGCCTCTCCCCCGAGACTACGTACTGCGTGCAGGTGAAGGCGAGACTTTTCCTGCAGAGGCGGCCTGCGGCGGAGAGCCCCGTGCGCTGCGTGAGCACCACCGGTGAGCGGGCGGGCGGGCGGCTCCGGGCGCGGGGGGAACACCCGGGGTGGCAGTCGGCCGGGCTCGGCGTTTTTCCCGCTGAAATGTACGTGACGGTCTGAGGAGCATTAAGAGCGCTGCCATGAGCAGACACGTTTGTTCCGTGTCCGCAAAAAGCGGGAGGGAGCCGCTGGCAGAACAGTGGGACTTCCAATGACTGGCCCTTTGTAACGATGACGTCAGCACGTGACGACGTCAGCACGTGACGACGTCAGCACGTGACGACGTCAGCACGTGACGACGTCAGCACGTGACGACGTCAGCACGTGACGACGTCAGCACGTGACGACGGGAGCACAGCCGACACCATGAATCCCGGGTGTCGGCGAGAAGCAGCGCAGGGCCTCCGGTCAGACGTTTCCGGGCAACCCCCACGCACGCGCACGCGCAGACGCTTCGACGTGCGGTTGAAGTGGAGAAGACAGGGCCCCGCCACGGGGAGTTAGTTCACAGCTGCCCGTCTTTCCTGGCGGACCCACGATCTCTCTGTGCGGCGGCAGCCCCGCCGGCGCCCGCGCCCTTTCCCGTGGTGCAGGGAGTCCGCGGTGCGAGCGCCCCGCGGCGGTGCAGGCCCAGGGTCCGCTCACACTCGCCCAGGCGGTTGGGTCCGGGCGGTTCCGGTCCGGGTCCGCGCCGCTCCTCTCGCGCTACAGCGCGCACTCTCTCCTGTCCTTTGCTCTCCAGCTGAGGATGCCGAGAGGCTGCCCCGGCCGGAGAACGTGCGCGTCGTCGGGAGAGGTCTGGTCTACGTCCTGCAGTGGAGCCACGCACGCGACAACGTGACCTTCCAAGCGCAGTGGCTCTAGTGAGTTCCCGTCCGCACCCCCCTTCGGCGCACTGTACTCGGCCAGGGTCATCCCCTGCTTCTCGTGGGCCCGGCTCCCGCAAGCTGGCCTTGCCACTGGGCGGGACGCTCCGTTCTCCTCCTGGCTCTGCTGGGACCTCCTAGGTGGCGCTGCGCCGGTCACTGAGCCTCGCTGGGCCTGAGTCTCTTGAAAGGCGGGTGTGTCCTCACAAACGCCGGGTCCTTCCCGGCCCTTTTCCTGGGGACAGCGCGGCTCTCAGCTCTCCTGGCCAGCCGGCTCCTCCCTGGAGTGCCTGGCGCGGCCCCACTCCTGCCTGCAGCGCTCAGCGCTGAGAGGCCCCTGTGGCCCTGGGACCGGCCGTTCATGGCAGCCTCCCCCTTCCCCAGCTCAGTGGTTTTGACGGGTCTTCAGCGGGCGGTGGAGCGGGGAGTGAAGAAGGCTGAGCGGAGGAGACCAGAGCGCCATGGGCGGAGTCTGGCCCTCGCAGTGGGAGGGCACTGCACACAGTGCTGCCGTTGGAGACTGTAGGGGACGGGTGGGGAGGGGGGAGGGGAAGGAAGCGCCCAGGGCAGAGGAGCAGGGGCAGGCCCAGGGGAGGCGGGAAGGAGGAGGAGGAGAAAGGCTGGAAGCGGCAGGGGGAGGTGGGCACTTCTCTCTGTCCTGTGGCGTCAGCTTGCGGCCGAGAGCAGGCGTGTGCTGGGGAGGCGTTGCATGTGTGCACGCCACTCCAGGCACGTGTGACCTCACGGGCCGGTCAGGACGCTGCAGGGGTCTCCTGGGGATGCTTCTCCCGCAGAAGCCTGTCCGGGAACGGCCACAGGCTGCAGGGGAACAGGGGCTTCGGAAGGCTGGTCCCCGAGTTTCTGTGCAGACTTGGCACCGTGTACGGAGCACTGAAGGGGCCATAAAGGTCCAGGAGGGTGAGACAGGCTGTCCTAGGGACCCAAGCCGAGGGTAGCGGGTGTCGTCAGCAAGGCGCCATTCAGGACGGGGGGCGGAGCACGAAGCAGAAGGCAGCTCGAATGGAAGACACAGAGGCAGGGGGTCCAGAGAGACCTGGAGAGCCTCTTGCAGGAGCTGACTGTGGACTCAGGCACAGAAAGAGGGGACAGAGGAGGCGCCCGGCCGGGCTGCAGCCGACAGGGAGCTGGGGGGAGGGGAGGCGCACAGGGAGGTGGGCGGAGGGAGGTGTTGGTTTCCCGTTGCCATGTAACAAACCTCCACGGGCTCAGCAGCTTGAAAAACACCGTCTGCTGTCTCTGGGCGGGTCCTGGCCAGCGGTCCTGGCCAGCAGCCCCCGCGCAGGCCATGCGGGGCCCCCCGCTCGGCGTCTCGCAAGGCGGCCGTCCGGGCCTGGGCCGGGCTGCGGTCCCATCCGAGGCACGGCGCCCTCGCCCTCTGCGGCGCCCCCATGGTTGCTGGCAGGAAGCGCGTCTCCGCTGCACGGCTCGCGGTGGCCTGCTTCTTGGAGCTCCTCGCAGGACGACCGTGAGCGTCCGTCTAGACCCTCTTAGGGTGCACTCGAGGTCCACTGACCCGCGACCTTAATTTCACTTGGTCCTGCCCACACGCAGGGGTGATGTGCGCACCAGGGTGCGGGCCTCTCAGGGCCACTGTGGCGGTGAAATGTCACCTCCCGTGGCAGAGACCCGCTCCGGGGGCAGAGGGACCTTTGGGCCTGCAGGGCCGTGAGGCAGGGGCCGTGCTGAGCGAGCAGCCCGCAGCGTCCCGGGGAACAGGTGGCTCAAGTCCCGCGCCTCGAGGGGACCACCGTTCCAGCAGCCTCCGGGCCGGGGTTTTGCATTTTCTGTCAGTCGTCCGCCGCGCCCGGTTCCTGGGGGCGGGGGCCATGGGGGCTGCGGGCCTAGACCGGCCAGCCCCGACCAGAGCGTGCAGCCTGCTCCAGGCGCTCGATGAAACGAATGTGTTTGGAGCTTAAAGTAAAACAACTTTTTTTTTTGTCTCAAAAGCGCTTTCTTAAAAAATACCGAAAACTACGAGACACAGTGGGAGCAGGTGCCGAACTGCCAGCACGTCAGGACCACGCAGTGCGCCTTCCCCCAGAGCACCTTCTGGAAGGGCCTCTACTTCCTCCGCGTGCGCGCCGCCAGTGGGAACCGCACGTCCGCGTGGTCCGCGGAGACGGAGTTCGACACCGAGAGCCAGGGTGAGCCGGCGGCCCCCCCTCCCGTGTGAGTCTCCGGGCGGGGCGGGGCGGGTCCCACAGCGCCTCCCCGGCCTGAGCTCACGCCGCGCCCCCCACCGCACGTGTCTTCCAGTGTTCGTGCCTCCTCCCATCGTGGTCCTGAAGGCTGTTAACAGCAGCTCGCTGCGCATCTACGTCGGCGCCCAGAATAAGTCCGTGTACCAGGGCTACCTGCCCATCTACGAGGTTATTCTTTGGGAAAACACTTCAAGCGTGGAGGTAAAAAGACTGTGTGGCATGATTCCATAATTCAGAGTTGTAAGTGACTGAGCTAAAAAAAAAGCTTGAAGTCTGCGTTCCAGGGAACTCTTCAGACCTAAGGCTCTGTGGCTCCCCTCCCCCACCCGTATTCACTGCGGGAAGGGTGCCAGCCTTCTCCTGGTGCTGCAGGGCAGAGCTGCAGCCCCCCTGCCCCGGCCCCAGGCTGTCTGCAGGTCTCGGCCCCTGGCTCCTTCTTTGCAGCCACTCAGGCTCCCCCCGGGGGGTGGAGCTCAGGAACTGCGCTCAGGACCAACCGCCACGAGCCATCCTGCTGCCACCGGCTCAGCTCACTCTCTGCCGGGAGGGGGGGGTGCTGTCTCCCGCCGTGGGATGCCCGCCCGGGTGCACCTCTGGCCCCAGAGCATCCTCCCTGTTGTGGCAACTGAGATGTTTCCGGGCGAGCCAGGTGCCACGGGGGGCGAGTCAGGTGCCCCGGGCGGGGCCGGCATGGGCTCCAGGGGGCCGAGTCGTGGCCGCAGTGGTGGCTTGTGGCTCCAGGAGAGCAGCTGCCTGCAGCCCCCGCTTGGCCCAGGGCAGTCCCGCCCCCTGGTCTGGGACTTCACTGTGTGGGTGGCTCAGAGGACCCATCCACGGGGGCTGGGGTCTCCTCCAGTCCAGACGCTGGGGCGCAACGCCACTGGCCAGGAGCGCCCACGGCAGGCACCAGAGAGCCCGTGGCGCTGCCGGCCGCCTTCCCTGCGGGCCGTGGCTGGGAGCTGGCCTGTGGACGTCTGGTGCCGTGGAGCTGGTTCCTTCTTTACCTCCACTTCCTGTTGGAGATCTAAGAAAATTCCGGCTGCTGGGCCACTTGCACTTTAACTGCTGAACGCACTGTGGCCAGAGCATCACCGAGCCCAGTGCCGGCGACAGGCAGCTGCCCCTCGTCCAGGAAAACCCAGGTCTGTGTCTCACGCTGCCAGGGCGTCCGGTCACCCGCTGCCGGGAACATGCTGTGCTCTACGGCCTTGACCGTCTCCTGTCCTGGAGGCGGCAGCAGTCCTCGAGGTCGGTCCCCGGGAGACGGTTCCCGAGGTTTACAGGGGTAACCAGTGACGTGGCCCCCGGCACGCTGCTGGGCGAGTGGTGGAGACTCAGCGACCTCCAGCTGCCGCTCTGTCCTGTGCCGGCCCCGCGGCGGCGGCAGCGGCGGTAGTGCTAGCAGCCCGTGTTTGCCGCGCGTCCGCTCTGGCCGGAGTGGGCTCGGAAGGGTTCTGCGGGAATCGTCCGCGTGGTCCTTCAGAACAGCCTGCCGGGCCGTGTGCCCAGCGAGTCCCTTCAGCAGACGGTCGGGACGAGTTCCCACCGCAGCTTCCCCGGCAGGCGTGAGACGGGGCTCGTGACGGGGTGTGCCGCCCACAGAGGTCTGCCGTGCACGAGCGTGGTGCGGCCGGCCCTCGTGTGTGCGCCGCACGTGCAGAGGAGCATGTGCTGCGCGTGGGCCCTCGTCCGGGGAGGGCGGGGCAGGCCCAGCCCTGATGCCTGGCCCGCGCCGGCAGGGACGTTCGCCAGTGAGGAAGGCGGGGCCGCAGAGCACAGCGCTCTGCTCCTCCGCACCAGCTCAGCGACGGCCGGCTGGGGCAGGGCCACATCGTCCTCCGCACTCCCCATCTGGTGCCGGTCCGCCCCAGAGACCAGGTGACCCGCCCCAGGCCGCAGAGCAGCCGGGGATCCCTTCTCTCCACAGCTGGGGCCGAGCCCCTGCCCCCCTCCGCCCCAGGCAGAGGCCACACAGTGGCGATGGCCCCCAGTGGGCGTGTTCTTGGTAAAATGCATCTGAGTGTCTTAAAGATAACCACGTTTCTTTTCAGCAGCGGCATCTTGAACTCTCTGGCCTGGTTGTGCTGTGCTGTCGAAAAGGGGCCCCAGCGGCGTCTGGGAGGGGCCGCTCCGGGGTGGACTGTTCAGAGTTCGGAAGGTAGCTGTTCCTTCTGGGACTGACTAAAGGTTACCCGTGACGTGATGTGCTTCTCGTTTGCAGAGAAAAATCGTGGAGAAGAGGGTTGACTTCACTGTTCCGCACCTGAAGGGGCTGACCCTGTACTGCGTCAAGGCCAGGGCGCTGCTCCAGACCTGGAAGTGGAACAACAGCAGCGAGTTCGGCGACACTGTGTGCGAGCGGACGCGGCCAGGTCAGAGTCTCCCGGGCGGCGTCCCCCCGGCAGGCGGGCTCCCACCCCCGCCCCCCCGGGACTCTAGGCCTTGACAGCGGTCGGGCCCTGCGGGTTCACCGCGGAGACCAGGGGCTGCGTTCCTCGTGAACTCGCGCGACTCAGGAGCAGACCTCCCGGCCGAGTCTTCCCGGCTCAGAAACCACCGTCAGCGCCCGCTCCCGTGCAGTGCTCTCGGGTGCTTTCTGTCTCATCCAACACCCACGGACTTGAATTCCTGTGACCATTACCCTCAGCCTTAAATGAGACGCAGGTCTCTGGCACACTCCTCGAAGTGCCACGTGGAAACCAGTTAATTCCGGTGTGAATTTGGTGGTTTCTCGTGGGACCGGGCTGGTCCCGGTCTCCGCTTGCGCTCCTGGCGCGGGCGTGTCGGCGCTGGGTCCCGGCGTCCTGGGCTGGCTGGCCGGCCGCGGGGCTGGCACCCCAGGCCAGGGCTGTCCCTCCCGGGGAGGCCGCCCCTGAGGAGTCCGTGTCCTGCCGCCAGCAGGCGTGGGCTCCGCGCTGCCACAGGTGTTTCCAAGGGTGTTACTTAGATGTTCACCTGACAGAGTCCCTGTCACACGGCCACATTTCCCTGCCACATCCGTCACCGCTTGTAATGCGTTTCCCGGCACACCCGTGCGAGCACTGAGCCCCGTGCACCTGTGTCTAGGAGACTCGTCCAGCGTCTGGCTGGTGGCTGTCCCCAGCGCCGTGCTCGCCGCGGCCTTCGCCCTGTGCGCCCTGCAGGGCCTCCGGAAACTGGTCGGCTACGTGTTCTTCCCGAGCCGCGCGCCGCCCTCCGCCATCGATCAGGTGGGTGGCTCTTCCCCACCCGTGCCCGACCAGGTGGGTGGCTCTTCCCCACCCGTGCCCGACCAGGTGGGTGGCTCTTCCCCACCCGTGCCGTCCGTCGGCTGCAGGGTTTCCTAAACACAACGGGGGCCGCGTCCGAGTCCGCAGGGTGCACGTGTGCTCTCGCTGCCTGGGAAGCAGTGCGGACGTCCCTTGTCAGTGACTCAGCCCGGGAGACGGTTGTTCGACGGGACACCGCAGGGGAGGCGGAGGGTGTCCATAGTCCCGTGTTTTCCCGGCAGTGTTACCCCCGAAAGTCCTCGTAGTCCCAGAAAGGCCAGCCGCTGCCCCCGGGGCGGGAGCTGGGTCCCAGGCCTGCGGGGGAGGGGCGCCCCGGAGCGAGTGCTTCCCAGTGGCCCCCGTGAGGCCAGGACCGGCGGGGAGAGCCCCGTGTGCAGAAGGCCTACAGCCGGACCTGCCGGGGCGGCGTGTCCCTCTCGGGGCTCCCCACGCCTGTCCCAGGTGTAGCCGGGGGCTCGGGCCCTGGGGCTGCAGAGACAGGGAGGAGAACCGGCCGGCGGGGCTGCGTCCGCACACGAGAGCGCTTGCAGGCCCGCCCAGGCCTGCCGGGGGCCGGCGCTGCCTCCCCACGGCGTGGTGAGCGACGGGGACAAGCCGGGGGCTGAGCCCCATGAACATGCTCTGCACACGTGTTTCTCTCGTGTCCCTGAGCTTAAAATCATTTCAATACACGGTGGTGCTCTTCAAGTTAAAGAGATTAAACGAGGTGCGGACCACAGCTGCGCCTAGGTCACGTGACAGGGAAAATTATCGTGTTTGTGCTTCTGGATCTTTGTGCCCTGGGCACAAACTGTCTGTCTTTCACAACAAATGCCCGCGGTGCTGGGCTCTCGCTGTCCGTCCTCTGTCCTCTCAGTGCCCCGCCCCACCAGCAGGGGGCGCCATCCTCGGGGCCCCGCGCCCGCACGCACCCACCGAGAGGGACGCGGGGCGCACGTGGCCTCGTGGGCAGGGGTTCGGTCTGAGCGGTGACGCAGGCGCTGTGCCCTGCACGGACTTGCTAATACGAAACAAAGGCTGCTGGGACTGGAAAGTTGATTTTACTATTTTAAGTGATCCGTTTCTATTTTCTTTCTTTTTTAAACTAGTACATCTTTGAACAGTCGCTGAAGAACATACTACTCTCCACTTCTGAGGAGCAAACTGAAAAATGCTTCATAATTGAAAACATAGACACTGTCGCCGAAGCAGAAGAAACCAGTCACACTGGCGGAGGGCACAAGACGTACAACTCCCAGACCAGCGAAGACTCGGGCAACTACTCCAACGAGGATGAGAACAGTGGCTGCCGAGAGAGCGGCGACCTCGGGCAGGAGGGCAGCGTGTGGCGGGAGTGAGCCTACACCCGCGTACGCCGAACACCCACGTGCGCGTGCCTGCACCGTGTGGCCACGGCCCGCTACAGGGCCGCAAAGCCCCGAGTCCAGGTTCTCATCAGAGCGTTAGAAGTGCTGTTCGAACTTGGGCGTCTGACCAGAGCTTCGCAACCTATACAGAAGCTATTTCACAAGTGGCATTAGAGTTACGTGTCTTTCCCCGGCCTGCGACCTTGAAAGCAGCGTCTGGTGGCACCTGAGAGAGAATGCACAGACACTTTCCTCCCTACCCCTCCTTGCAGCCAGCGACTGCCTGGTGTGTTACGTGTTTGTCGTGTCTGGGGTCCGACTGCCCCCAGGAGCCCCCGCGCCCCGGGAGAGCAGGCCTTCCCCGTGTTCTCGGGCGCAGCCCCGGCACCTGCCCGACACCGAGAAGGGGCAGGAGACGGTGGTCGAGTGTGTGAGATGCACGGTTTGACGTGAGTGAGTGCGTGTTTCTGACGGTGTCTGTGTGTTCACTGACCCGTGGAAGGACATACCGATGTTTTCACCGTTTCCCTTGTGAACGTTTTTTGTCCCAGTAAGTCCATCTGTGTTTTTGTCTCAAACTTGTCGCGGTGAGTAGTTTTTATGTTGAGGTAATAAAGCTAGGGACCAAAAGCCTTCGACTTTGTTGTTGTGCTTGAACTTGGTAAGTGTTTATGTACCAGAGGTGCTGCAGCCGGAACCTTCCCCAGGAGTCGACGGCCTGGGGGCGGGTCCCTGAGCCCGACGCCCCCTGGCCATCGCCGCGCACCCCGAGGGGCCCCTCTGTGTCTGCTCTCACAGCTCGTGGGGGACCCGGCCGGGGATCAGCGCCTCCCAGGGGGACCCCGGGGCCCCGCAAACCCACCTCCCCGCAGCTGGGCACTCAGCTCTGGTGCCGAACACGGCGGGCGTCCACCGGGAGCCCTGCCACCTCCGTGTTTTTGGCAAACTTTCTTGTCTTTTTTTTTTTTTTTTTTCCCCAAAACGGACAGGGAAACAAATATTTAATAAATCCATCTCTGATGCCTGGCGAAGTCCCTGGCCCCTGAACGTAGTGACCAGTACCAGCAACACACAGATTTCCTCACTGCTTTCCCTGGGGCTTAGGCCACGGGAGGCGGGAGCGCGTTTGCTGCCGGGCCTGGTCCCTGACGGGGGAGACGGATGCCACTGAGCGCACCTGAGCGGAGGGGAAGGGGCGAGAAGAGGGATCTGACGTCCACGCCACGGGTGAGCCGTCCGCCCGGGCGCGCGGGCTCTGGCAGCGGGCACACTGGGCGCGGAGGAGCGGCAGCCGCAGGCGAAGGGAAGGAAAAGTTGGTGGAGCAGGTATTCTGGCCTAGAAAGAGAAAGGCCCTGGGGAGAGGGCGGAGATAGAGGAGCCACACCTCTCAGAAGCCGATTTAAATTAAATGAAACCTTTCTCCTCTCAGCGACTCACTCTCCCGGCCCTCACCCCCTGCCCTGAACACTTCCTAACGAGGAAGGGCGGAGGGGGAGGGAATGAATGAAGAAGAAAAACCTTTTCCTGTCTCTCCAAGAAAGAGGGTCTATTTTCTCAAAAAAAAAAAAAATTTAGAATTAGCCCTGACATATGTAACAACGAATATAGTACTTTGGGGGGTACTCAATTCTTGCCCACTCTCAGTTTTCATGATGCTTTAGCCCTCTGGGATTTTACTTACGAAAAGGGGGCCGTGAGTTTTAGGGAGTGAAAGGGCACCATCCACTCTGAAGTCTTGCTCTTCCTCACACAGGAGTGTTCTGGTGTCCGTCTGTCCGCGGGCATCGGGCTGAGATCTCCCCAGGGGGGACCTTGGCACACGGCTCACATGCCGCCTCTTGCAGCCGGGGCACACCCCACCCCGCGAGAGCAGGCACTAAGTTCTCCAGGACTCACAGGAGCACCCCGCAGCGCTTAAGATTAGGTGGGGCCCTGACGGCAGCGCGTTGGCAGCTTCACCACTAGGGGGAGCAAGTCGCCCGTTCAGATTCACCGCCAGCAGGTGTGTGTTGACTCGGGTTCCCAGTGGCTGTCACGAGGCGGCCTGCAGGCGCTGGCCGGGGGTGAGCACGCGGTTTGGAGTTGCCAGATTCAGCCAAATAAAAAGCCAGGACACACAGTTACATTTGAACTTCAGGTACACAATTCTTTGAGTGCAAGCGTGTCCCAAACACTGCATGGGACATACTTACACTGAAAATGGTTTCCGTCAGGCAATGCTTGGGATGCCCCGGCACCGTGCTCACAGAAGGAGATGAAGAGGAAGTTGTTGGTATAAAAAAGCCTGCCGTTCCCTCCTTGAAGTCTGCTAGATGATTCCTGCCACATACCCATGCAGAAGTCATCTGTGCCCCGCCTGTCGCTCCAGATAAACCACAAATGACCTTTACTCCGAGTCCCTTGTGACCCTGGAGACACCCTTACAGTAACATGTCATTCACTTGTTGGTCGGAAGTTCCCGTGTGGCTGGGTGTCCATCAGGTTTTCGTGGCAACCCTGGTGACGTTAGGCTTCAAAAGGACTATCAGCCCCACCCCAGGCCCCCCGCACTGGTATAAATAATGCTTTATGCAGAAATTTGCGTCAGCTCCATTACACAGAACGTGTTTCATTTAGCATTTAAGGCAATAGTTAAGCCCTGGCTGGTGTGGCTCAGTGGACTGAGCGCCAGCCTGAGAACCAAAGGGTCGCCAGTTCGATTCCCAGTCAGGGCACATGCCTGGGGAGTGGGCCACGTCCCCAGTAGGGGGCACATGAGGGGCAACCACACATGGACGTTTCCCTTTCTTTCAACCCTCTCTACCCCTCTCTCTAAAAAGAGATAAAACGTTTAAAACAATAGTCAAGAGAGTTAATATTCCGAACGCTATACAGGGTGAGGGAAAAGAGGGGTTACAGTTGTTCCTATGAAATACGATGCACTAATTGATAACAGCACAAGAACAAAGTCTCGTACTCACAACTGTAACCTACTCTTGCCCCACCCTGCATTGCCAGAAAAATAAATTCTAGTCTAGTTCGGCCCCAGGGAGAAGGCCAGGGCGACGCCTCACCCTGCGCAGGGCACCTGTTCCCTCCCTCACACACCCCGACACCTCGGGTGCGCCTTTCTGGGGGCTCTCGGGGGGAATCGGTTCCTTGGCTTCTCCCTCACCCCTTGGCTTGTCGTCTCCTCCGGTCTTCAAGCCAGCAGCACCGTCAAGGGTCAAGTTCTTGTCACGTGGCGGTGCTCTGACCTGGGCCTCCCCGCACACCCAGGGCGAGCGCTCTGTTGTAAGGTCAGCTGAGAAGCAACCTCGAACCCATAAGCCCCCCTCCCTTCCCCTCTGCCATCTAACCTAACGCAGCCGGGGGTCCCGGGGACCCCGGCGGGGACACCCTTCCGAGGGCACACTCCTGCCCCGCACAGCACCTGGCTCTCCGCCACCCAGGGTGGGCCCGCTTCTCTGGTCACTCCTGTCTGAGAGAGCAAGCAGCTCAGACCCAGGGACCAGCTTGTGTCAAAGGTGACGTGACGATGACGGGCACTTGGCCACAGAGTCCAGCGGCCCCGGGGGTCCCGGCACGTGGAAGGGCCGGTGTCACAGAGCAGCGCAGGGGCCCAAAACGCTGCCACCAAGGTGCCAGCCCGACCGTGAGGGGTTGGGGTGCCGGGTTCCTGGTGGGCGGGACCGAGGGGCGGTGGGACCGAGGGACGGCGCTCTCAGCGTCCCCCAGGAGCCTGCATGTCGGGTCTGGCTGGACTTGAGATCCTGGTTCCTGCTGGGGGGGCGGGGCAAGGGAGCACTTCGCACACGGACCAGTAAGGGCCCCACTCAATCCAAAGCCCGGTTACTCTGAGGGTCTCACTGTACCCCTACATCAGCAGGCCAGCCGGCGGAGGAAGGCGCTGCCCCACAGGCAAGGGTGGGTAAGTCCCTCTGATTCCCCCAGGAGGGGGTACAGCGACAGGTACACAGAGGTGGGCGGGGGGAGGGGCTGGAGTGCTGGGAATCATGCTGGGGCGCCTCGGGGCCCAGGAATGACCAGGAACGGACGAATGCGGGAACAGAGCCTGACAAGACACAGTAAAGGGGCGCAAGCCGCTAGGGGGTGAAGGCCCTCCAGGCGAGCCCCCCAGAACAGAGGTGCCGGCCCAGAGTGGGGAGCGAGGAGGAGGAGGGAAAGGAGGGTGAGCCGTGGCCTGGAGACCATCTTCAGAAGGCGGCGCTGCAGCCCGTAGCTGTCCGACTAGTCCCCTGTCACCCTGAGGGGTTTCAGCTCTGGGTTCACTGCGACCCACCACCACGCGCGAACCAGCGGCAGCCTGGCATGAACCGGTGCGGCGCACGAGCGTGCCGGAGCGCTGCGGGAGGGCATCGCGTCAGAGGCCGCGGTGTCTCCCCGTATTTCCTCGGCATCTGACGTTTCCGAGTTCAGGGGACCGTCCCAATATTTGGCTTCCGGAGCCTGTTGCACCCCAGGGTTGATGAGAGCTGGCATCTGGCAGGTAGGGGCCGGCGATGCGGCTAAATACCCTGCAACGCACGAGATAACCGAGAATGGATTTTAGGGCCAGCACTCCAATTCCTATCCAAAAAACCCAGCCAGATGGGGTTTGACAGGGGTCGCATTGAATCTCTAGACCAGTTTAGGGGAATATTGCATATTAACAACATTGCATCTTCCAGGCCATGAATGTGGGATGTCTTTCTATTTATTTAGGTCTGCTTTAATTTTTTCTCCAGCCCTGGCTGGTGTGGCTCAGTGGATTGAGCACGCATCTGTGAACCAAAAAGAGGTCATTTGGTTCATTTCTCAGTCAGGGCACACACCTGGGTTGGGGGCCAGGTCCCCAGCAGGGGGCGTGTGAGAGGCAACCCCACACTGATGTCTCTCTCCCTCTCTCTCCCCCTCCTTTCCCCTCTCTAAAAATAAATAAATAAAATCATGCTTTAATTTCTGTCCATGCCTTTTTGTTTTAGTGTATGAACCCTGCTCTTCTTCTTTTTTAAAAAATTTATTCTTAAGTGTTTTATTCTATTTGATGCTACTCATAATGGAATTATTTTTCTTAATTTACTTATCAAATCATTTATTGCCAGCGTATAGAAACATTTTTGTGTGTTTACCTTGTATCCCGTGACCTCACCAAATTCATGTATTAGCTCTTCTCTCGGTGCACTGCTCTGGGTTTTCTATGCGCACGATTCTGTTGTCTATTCATAGAGATGGTTTCACTTCTTCCTTTCCAGCCCGGAAGTCTTGCATCTGCTTTCCTGGCCCAGTGGCTCCAACGAGAGCGCCCAAGACAGTGCTGAGTAGACACGGAGTCTCGTCCTGGTTCTGGGGAGCAGCTCGCAGCCTTGCACCATTACCTGGGACGTTCCCTGGGTGGGGCTTTTTTTTGGGGGGGGTAGTCTTCCCTTATTAGATTGAAGAAATGTTCCCCGCCCTGGCTGGCGTAGCTCAGTGGATGGAGCGCGGGCTGCGAACCAAAGTGTCGCAGGTTCGATTCCCAGTCAGGGCACATGCCTGGGTTTCGGGCAATGGCCCCCAGCAACCGCACATTGATGTTTCTCTCTCTCTCTCTTTCTCCCTCCCTTCCCTCTCTCTAAAAAAAATAAAAAATTAAATTAATAAAATCTTAGAA